TCTACATAGCTGAAGAATGAAAATAAAAAAAAATTTATTGAATTTAATTGGCGGTCATCAAGATATCTTTGCTTAAATCTTTGAAAAAATTAAATTTTATATAAATATAATGTATCAAGAACGCCACCTCAATTTAGGGAGTAAATCAGACCTACCAAAAAAGTAACTGCAGATCCACCAAAAACGTAACTTTTGTCTTTTTTTCTTGATCCGGGACGATTGAAATTTACGAATTCCAATTGGTCATTTTCTATGCGCCATGTCACGTTACTGCAAAAGTGTCTAGACTCCTGGCGGGGCTAGATCATTTGTGTTATTTAAAGAAATTTAAATTTCTATATAAATGCGCCAATTTCAGGAGAATGACTTAATTGGTTATTCTTCATTACGCAATTTAAAAAAAAAATCGATATTTCATTAGAAAAGGATTTTGCGAATCTATGCCTAAAAATTTTAAAGTAACACCAGAGATGCAAAAATACTATTATTCTCGCTCGAATCTGTTTATTGAGTTAATGAAAATACACTATGGGAGTAGTGCATTAACTAGAGATGGGCAAGTTTAATAAAGTATTATTATTTATTATTTCTGATTATTTCTTATCATTTTTTGTGTAATAAGTAATAATAAGTAAGAATTATGATATAAGCAAAAAGTTTAATCTGATCAGCAAATTTTTGAGTTTAAAATTTGCCTTCCAGTTTATACGTATTTGTAAAACGTGATAAGTAATAATTATTCGTATAGGGAATAACAGCAATTTTTTTCATACTTCAGTTTGTGTAACTTTGCATACATCAATTCGGCTCAGCCAATAAAATTGTAAGGAAATTTAATATTTCAGAAATTAAAATTTCAAGAAATAACATATTTCGGGATATTATTCAAAGATCGAAGTTGCAATAATGCATAAGATCGGTATATATGATATAATAAATAAAAAGTCAAATGAAACATATTTAAAAGAGAAAAAAAAAATTTTTTACCTACTCTTTACTCTGCAATAGATCGTCTTATTAGTATAATAATATGGAATCAGAATTTGTCTATCTGACCTTTGACGAAACATGTATAAATACTGATATTATGGAGTTGGATTATGTTTTTGAAACCTTTAATGATTATATATATAATAGTACTACAGATATTATAGATCATATACATAATAGAACTATAGATGTTATAGAGTTAGAATATACTTTTGAAACTTTGATGAAGATTTTGTAGATAATAGCATTTTTAAACCAAAAAATGTCTTAGAAATGCATATAGATAGTAGTATTTTAGCAGTAGAGTGTACTTTTAATACCTTTTCTGAGGCATGTACAACAATTGAGGAATATGTTGCACAAACAAATGCTGTTATAATTTTAGATAGAACAACATGAAATTCAGATAAGAGTGACTATAGGCAAGCACTATTTGTTTGTGCAAATATAGTGGAGTAAATGAAGAATATACAACAAAACGTATTGGCTGCCTTTTTGCAATTGCTATAAATTATCAAAAACATACTTAAAAATTTGCTATAACAAAGTCAATTTTGAAACATAATCATGAACTCTGTTTGGATGCTACAAAATTTAGCACTGTTGTATATAAATTTGATAAAGATGGTCTTGGTTTAATTGAAAAACTTTAGGATGATGGATTAAGAACTAAAGATATATTTCTGTACTTAACTCAGTAAGCTGCAAATATATTGCTATAAGTTGTCATCACCAATATAAACTTCATGGTTTGAATAAGATTGAGATGCTCTTTAAAACTTTATATAATAATAAAAATATTTTAAAATATACTGTATAGCATTAAAAGCCGCTTATAATACTGAACGAAATCAAGATAGTGAATTTGTTCAAGAAATTTTTTGGGCATACTATAGTACATTTTTTGAATTTATGATTGCAAATGATGTTCTTATTATTGATGCAACTTACAAGACCAACTGATTTTCTATGCCATTAATAGTTATTTGTAGTATTGATAGATTTGAATCTACATACCCATTAGTCTTTGTGCTTGTTTATTCTGAAACTACTGAATCTTATTGTTGGGTAATGCAGCAATTAAATAAAGCATTAATTAAGTTAATGGGTAATTTAATTATTTAAAAATTACTATTATTTTTTTATTAGTTTTTTATTTATTACTTTTTTTTTTGTTTAGTTTATTTCTTTATTTTTATTTATTTTTTATTTTATTATTTTTTTTTATATTTATTAGGTAATACACAAGTGACAACAATAATATCTATCGTAAATTAAAATGAAATCAGATTAAAATGAAATAGAGGACCTCTTTCGCTCCTTTTTAAAGCTTATAAAACCCATTTATACTCTTTTTTTAATAAATCTAATACTAAACCCTAACTCTAACTCTAACCCTAACTTTAAACAAAATTTTTTAAATTGTCTTTAAAAAATATTAAAATTTTATTTTAATTTTATTTTATTTTAATCTGTCACAATAACTAATTGTGAATTAGCTCTTATAAGAGCAATTTCTCAAAAATTCCCTCATACACAACATCAATTATGTATATGACATATCTTCAAGAATATTAGAAGCAAACTTAAAAAACTTGATAATTTTGATGAGTTCATTAAAATTATTCAAAAACTCACATATGATAATAATTTAGAAGATTGTCAAATTGATCAAGAGATTGTAGCATTATGAAAATGATTTCCAGAAGCAAAAACTTATATGTATAAAACTTGGATACCCTATAAGACTAGCTGGTTTGTATCATATACAAAACACAATATAAATCTTGATATCAAATCAAATCAACGTGTAGAAAGTTTATATAGCAAGCTCAAGGGAGTTGAGAATTAAATTACTCCAATTGATAAGTTAGTATTAAGCTTTTAATTATTATTTCATTCAAATTATTTAAATTTTATTTTTGGTTATAATAATATAATAGATTACTTGCAACTCTTTAGCAACAATTAAATAAAAGTTTTCAAAAGAATGCTTATGAAACATTTTTGCATCAGACTAAGCATATAAGTGATAGTGACAATTTGGGTTTAGAAAACCTGAGATTTGTTCACGATTTTTATTTAAATTATTTATAAAGCTACAAGATGAACTTGTAAAGTCTGGTGTCTATAATATTTCAGAAAATAACGATAGTACATATAATGTAATACAAATTGATGTCAAAGTTAATACAATATATATTGTATATATTGGAGCTTCTAGTATTTGTATATGTTTATATTTTCAACATACTAGAACTCTATACCAATATATAATTTCAATTTATTTAAAATTTTTATATACTTGTATTCCTTCAAGTGAAATTCACTAGTATTGGCATGTAAAACATTGTGAAAAAACAAAGAATATTGGTTATTCAAATGTTTTACAGATTTTTAAACAAATTTTGAAGGTTCACTACAATAACTTTTTGAATTTAATGCAACAAGTTTCTAATCATATTATTGAATATAGAAAAGTACCAGAGTTACTATTAAGTAATTTAAATACTATGCATAAAAGCACATTTATAATGATTAATATTGAAAATTTAAACTATGAAAATATTAAATGCCAATAGTTAAACATTAACATGGTCAACCACAGAATAACAAATGTATATATAGCAAGGATAAAGACAAAAAATCTTCAAAAAAAGTTTCTATTAAACAAAAAAACAATACACTAGTGCTATATTCTTTTAGTGCATATTCTAATTCTTATATTTCTCAAAATATGATATTACAAGTATATAATCTGATTTCAGATAGACATTGTGGATTTGGATTATTAGCTATAGCCTTATTTAAAAATGAGAAAAGATGACAAAATATTAAAGTTGCTATGAAAGAACAATTAATTAAACAAAAAGAATTATATAATGATAAGTTTGGATATAATATAAATCAATTTATAGCTGTTTTAATATAAAACCAATATGCTCCCAGGAATTTTGATTCTATTCTCTAGAGTGTATACAACTAATATTGAATATATTCAATGTACCAATTGTAGTATTTGGTGCAGATCCTAAAGCGAGTTTATTTTTTTGCCATATAATCAGAAGCCTAGTCACCACAAAAGCTAATTATTTTACAATGGGAAGGACAAAACTACCGTAAAAATCGGACCCAGGTACCCCCCATGCAGTGTACCCCTTACCAGTTTGAAGTGCCGGTTTGTGACTTATACTCGGGTATAAGATACATCTTCGAATAATGCATTGTCACATATTAATTATAACGTATATAAAGTTATAAAAAACCGGCTTTTTAAATCGAATCATGATTAGTAAAAATTCATTGGCAGAGCAAATACATATGACAAAATCAAAAACTATTAATCGACGATATCTAATATAGCAAACTCAACAATGTATTACAAAATTCTTTAATCATTTCATGCATAATCGCTATATTATAATTCAATACACCACTGGTAAAATTTAAAAATTAACCATGTTGAATAACACGTTCGAATGCCACTCAAACTGCCATTCAATATGGCGAATTTTTAAATTTTACCAGTGGCACATTTTTCATATCAAACATTACACTTGATAAAACATGAACAAAAAATCGCTTTATTTAAAGAAAAAAATTACAAAATTGATCTTTTATTCCCAATCGTTACCACCCCTAGTTTCTTCATACTCTTCACCATTAAGATCATCAGAATCTGACTCCTCTTCAATGTTTTCTTCATTTACGCTTGTCAGATCTTCTCCCAAAATTTCATAGTCGAACACCAAGTCGTCTTCAGAACCATCCATTTCTACCGAGATACCACAACACTTGAACGATTTTCTAATTAAACGAGGATCAATCTCATTCCACGATTCTCTTACCTATTAAGCTAGATTAGAATACGGCGGCTTTTTAATACGTCCAGCGGGGTAAATTGATGAGGATTGTTGATCATCCATTCATTATAACGAAAGCGCATCTGTCATTTAAAATCTAAGCTTTGCTAATAAAAAAAAAAATTTTAATATATTGTACCTTTTCCTTGAAACATTTATTAATTGCAACATCAAGGGGCTGCAATTTACTGGTTAGTCTACCAGAAATAACCGCAAGATGGGTATTCTTTTCCTGGAAATGACTTTTAACAGAATCTTTCGTATGACCTCTAAACGAATCCAAAACAAGGAGAGATTGAGGATTTCCCACTTCACTATGTTTAGACCACACATTATTAATCCAATAATGCATCTTCTCTTCATTACACCACCCTTTTGCATTTACACGAATAATAACGCCTTCAAGAAAAACTTCACGGGGAATGTTTTTTAATTTGAAAATGCATACTGGAGGAAGCTTTTTTCCATCTGCAAGACATCCCAAAATTACAGTAAAAGATGTCCTTTCGTGTCCAGTTGACCGAATGCTTACAGTTTTAGTACCACGTTTTTCAAGAGTTACTGGGTAAGGCAAATCAAATAACAATGGCGTTTTGTCCATATTTCCAATATATTGAATATCATACTTGTATTGACGATGTTTGAACAAAACAAAGCTCAAGAACTCACTTTGTAGTTCAATAAGATCTTCAGGAAGATGCTGCGAAATTGTTGTGCGCCGGCGATTTGACAGATCATTACGGTACAAAAAACCACTCAACCAACCATTGGAAAATCTAAAATTATCGATATTAGGATATGCATCCTTTATTTCATTAGTTTTAACCAATGTTTTAGCCCTTCTAACAACCATATTTCGTGTAACAGCCATCTGTTTATTACGAAGCACTTCAACCCATTCAGCTAGCCTTTCTTCTAAAAGTGGGTACTGAGCTGAATGACCACGATTGAGCGTTAAAAGATAAAGTGCAGCATTTAAAAGATCTCGTTTCTTGCTTCGCCAGTCACGAACCTGTTTGGGTTCAATCTCAAATTTCTTTGCAGTCGCTCTTACATTTTGAATATGTTCAAAATAATAAACCACCATAAGCTTTTCACGAACACTCCAGTTACGCCGAGACTTGTTACAGACACGAGATTTTTTACTGATACTTTTACTTCGTGGTGACATTTTTTAACGCGTTTAGAGAGAATTCATGCGTTTCGAGTTTTTATTTAGGGAGAATGTCGCACAACATGTGATATTTGGAATTTAATCTGAATTACTAGTGTACAATTCTAGAACCGTAATGACAATTAATTCAAAGAAAAAAGAATTGAATATGATTGTAAATTCAAAAAAAACTAACTTAGAGAAAAAAAAAGTCCAGCCGATGTCCCACTCAAAGAACTTGGGTACACCTTCATATAGTTTGTGTTCACAACAGTAGATTCAAAGAGAAAAAAAAGTGACATGGTGATAAATTCGAAGAAAATATGACATGGCGGTAAATTCGAAGAAAAAAAAAAAACATAGCGGTAAATTCGAAGAAAAAAAAAAAAGACATGGCGGTAAATTCGAAGAAAAAAAAAGACATGGCGGTAAATTCAATGAAAAAAAAGACAGGCGGTAAATTCAATGAAAAAAAAAATAAAAATTGATAGAAAAAAATATTCACACCCAATTACCGAGCCGTTAGGGTATAACCCTAGAGCCGGTGGTCCTGCTCAAGGAAATTGGGGCGCACCTTCAAACAGTTTATATCAATAAATTCAGAGAAAAAATTCTTATGACAGTAAATCCCTCAAAAATTGATTTAGAAGAAAAAAAGTCCAGACCCAATTGCCGAGCCGTTAGGGTATGACCCTAGAGCCGATAGTCCTGCTCAAGGCAATTGGGCATATTCTTTGAATATGAATGAACGGTATAAAAAATGATTAAAAGAACGTTAATATTCAATGAGCTTTACATTATAAAAAAAAAAATGGTTTAAAAATAAATCAAAAAAAAATTTTTTTAAAAAAAATTTATCTTTCATATGAATGGCGTTAAAAATGTAAAAATGTGCATCGGGCTTTCAAGTTTATTATTGGTTATTTATTAGATTCAGCCCAATTGATGATACGTAGTATATATTATCAATCAGATTTTTCATGGGCTGAATCCAATAAATAACCAGTGATAAACTTGAAAGCAGTACATATAAAAATCCAATAGCGATAGAAGTTTAATCAACTACTTACCTCGACCTATGTACCTCTATCAATACAGTATACCCCCAATAGAGGTACCCGGGTACTAAATTGAGCAATGAAAATACCCGGGGTACCTGGGTCTGATTTTTACGGTATATTGTATTAATTCAACTTAAATCAAATAAGAATACTCAGCTTTCACCTCTGAACCCACAATATAAACCAATTTGTCATCGTTATGACTTTTCTGAAAATTGGCTTATACTTTTTTTTATAATTTGCCACTTTTACTATTTGTCTTTATAACTTCACATTTTTTTGCTTTTATATAGTTACTTTGTATTTATTTGCTTTTGCTTTTAGATTTGCATAACACATGCTTATTAAAATATAGTAAGTGTATTAGTTTATATGCTTTAAACATGTAATACAACTTATATCTTTTAAGATATAGTAAGTAAATTAGAACATGTAATAGAGAGTAAACTTGAAAGATATAAGTACAATTATTACAGTATTTGAAAGTTTTGCTTTGGTTTTTATTACAACAAAGACATATTAAATGTATATAGGATAAGTATATATAGAGTATGATTCTTTAATTAGTTAGATCTTGAATCAGTATATATAAACCTATAACTTTGAATTTAAATCTCAAAGAAATTAAGAGTCTAATAGTAGCAATCATAACTATTAAATATATACAAGGTAAGTATATGCAAAGTATAATTCTTTAATTAGTTAGGTCTTGAATCAGTATATATAAACCTATAATTTTAAATTGAAATCTCAAAGAAATTGAGAGTCTAATAGTAGCTACTGTGACTATTATTATTTTTTTTTTAAGCGATCCTGCCTTTATTCATGTGAACTGTTATATAATTTTTACACCCATGTATACAACTTATTGCTCTAACGTAATAAAGACTCACCAAACATAAATGCCCAATGCGACCTGCTATACCAACTGTTTGTCTACTCAGGGATCATGAACTTACTCACGATTTCGTATCCCAAAGAATACCCCCCTCGATTATGGACTGGCCGTTGTATACCTCGTCAGGATCACCAACCTTTCTTCCAACTTTTTCCACCAAAATCTGGGCAGAATAACTATCTCCTACTCTTCTATAAGCAAGATCATATATACCACGTTTATGAAAGACCAAAAACATTTAGGAGAATGAAAGGAAAATTAAAACCAAAAACCACAGAAAAGAAACTATCCTAAATATAATTCCATCATAAATGGACCAGTAAAAAAAGTAAAAAAGAAAAGTCAGCGATCCCGACGAGAAAAAGGAAAAATGCACTATTATAACCCGTGCCAGGTGAGTATAAAAATTATATGCTTATAGCAACACTGCATATCTCTATTGTAAGGCTTCACCTATACTATTAATTCCTCTCCGACCCTACTATCTCCGGAAGTCTTCGCCTGGGTTCTTCTAATCAGGTACTGTCATCGTCCCATGCTGACTCTTCAGTTTCCAGCGGCCCGAGCCAAAACCGGTAGCACTATGTCTGCTTATCAGACATGTGATTGCCGTCTACCACGTCAACCGGATATGGGAATGTAAACACTGTGTAATCTATGCCGATCGTTTGGAGGGGGTAAGCCAAATCCCCACTTTTTGTCAAAATTTTTGGAAGATTGGCAGCAACAAGAGAGTGTAATACAGGAGACCACTTGTATAGGATAAAAGAGTACAGCTTGAAATCAAAAAGTTTCAAAGTTTACTGTACTCCTGGGTTTTCAAGAAGTCCTAAAGGCTTCGCTAACAGAATT